TCTGTGGCCACAACTGTCAGGTTGTAGAAGGAGCGCTGTTCAGCATCCAGAGGCTTGGTGATGATGATGGTACCCACAGCTTTTTCAATGTCAAACACACTGTCGCTGTTTCCACCTGCGCCAAAGGAAAACACGGTTAGGAGGAAGAACCAGGGAAATTCAAAAACCAGCACCATGAAAGTTACAAAGAAATGAACTGGTGGAACACTGAAGCAGAGGTGGCACTGGTTTCATTTTTAAGTATAAATGCATGTATGTATGCACAGATTCATACTGGTGTTGATGTGCCCTGTGCAGCGTGCAATGGTTTTGACATGTCTGGAATGAATCGATAAAATAAAAAATCAATAACTTTACATTCATGACCACATGTCTAACATACACTCTTGTACTGCCTGTTTTGGTAACAAACTGCAGGATTTCACTCAGCTGACCAACTCCAGTGACGACAGGAGCAAATACCTGATAACCAGTGATGTCCCTCATTAATCAGCTCAGAACTGGTGTACCTGCTGGTGGGGTTCAGCTCCAACACACACAAACACAAACTCCAAGTACTCCAGTCAAAACACCATTTAGACCATCAGTCCTACCACCAGACAAACAATCAATCAATTGATCCGACCACTAGTCAGAACTACAATAAAATCACCAGTTAAACCAATAAATCACAGGATCAATCAGATCCCTAATCATTAACCAAAAGATCAATCAAATCAATTATCATACCACCAGTCAAACCATTAACTGAATCATCTGTTAAACCATCAATTAGAAACACATCACAGCAACGTCACGGTGTGTGTGTGTGTGTGTGTGTGTGTGTGTGAGTTGACTCTTTAGAATCTCTGTCCAATAAATCTATGACCAGAGTCTGATACGTTCACCTGAAGAACAATGTGTGTTCCCAACACTCTTGTCTCCACCTGTCAGTGAAATAATTATAATTTATATAGTTATATAATTATATAACTATTTTACAGGATCTTTCTGGGTGGAGTTTGCATGTTCTCTCTGTGCTGCGTGGGTTTTCTCCGGGTACTCCAGTTTCCTCCCACAGACAAAAAACATGCAAGTTAGACTGACTGGTAACTCTGAACTGTCCCGAGGTGAGAGAGAGAATGGTTGTGTATCTCTATGTCCCTGTGATGGACTGGAGACCTGTCCAGGTGTCCCTGTGATGGACTGGAGACCTGTCCAGGTGTCCCTGTGATGGACTTGATGATGGTTGTTACCAGATCTGGTTCTGGAGGGCAGCCTGGGAGGCAGCTGCTGCGGTCCTTGTAATCATCATGCTGCTGAAGGGACCAGATAACAGAACCTCACTGCTAACACAACCTCACTGCTAACAGAACCTCACTGCTAACAGAATCACACTGCTAACAGAACCTCACTGCTAACAGAACCTCACTGCTAACAGAACCTCACTGCTAACAGA